GCACGGAGATGCGATTCAGAGTCTGGCGTTCAATCCGTCGGGCAACCTCCTGGTAACGACGTGCAGGGACCGCAAGATCCGCCTGTTCGACCCCAGAGCAAGCGCAGAGGCGGTGCGCACCACTGAGGGACATGGCGGGATCAAGGTGCGTTGTGTCCCCGTCGTGCGATGGCCGTACACATCGTTGACCATCGCCGTTCAGGGTGCGCGCGTTGTGTGGATGGGCGAGCGCGACAACATTGCCACTACCGGGTTCAGTAAGATGAGCGATCGCCAGATTGCGATCTGGGAAACCGCTGGGTTGACCAATGTAAAGATGACGACAATCGACCAGACGTCTGGCGTCCTTATGCCCTTCTGGTCTGACAACAACATTCTGTTCCTTGGTATGCGCTGTGTATGTTGATATTCCTCTGCCCGTACTTACAGGCTCGTTTGTTGACAGCCGGCAAAGGGTGAGGGTTTCTACTGTTCTGCAACAACCAACTGTCTCCTGACACCCGTGTCAGAGATGGTAATATCAGATACTACGAGTACGAGAACGACCAGCTGTATGGCCTTGCGGAGCACAAGTCGTCCGACCCGCAGCGCGGGATGTGCTTCCTGCCCCGCCGCGCACTCAACGTTTCCGAGTGCGAAATCGCACGTGCGTACAAGGTGGCCGGGTCCTCGATCGAGGCCATCGCGTTCATCGTCCCCCGCAAGGTATGCATACTGCCACCCTGCCCAATCTCACACTGACACTGACCCACGCCGCGCGCAGTCCGACTCCTTCCAGTCGGACATCTACCCGCCCGCCCCGTCCGCGGAGCCCGCGCTGTCGGCAGGCGAGTTCTTTGGCGGCAAGGCCGCGCCGCCGAACCTCGTCAGCCTCGACACGGGCGCGATCACGGCTGGGGCGCCGCCCTCCGCGGTGCCGACGCCCTCCGTCTCCTCGCCCACGCTCGCCAAGGCCGCGGCGCCCCGCATCTCGATCGACCCGACGCCGTCCCCCGCCGCCAAGCGGCCCGAGCCGAGCCCGATGCCAAGCTCCCCGCTCGAGCCTCGGACGCCCGCTCGGGCGTACAGCGCCCCTGGAGCCGGAGCCGGAGACGTACGTGTTGTCCCCCGTGCTTGTGGGGTGCGTGCAGTGGAGCGCTTGCTGACGCTGTGGCTTTGCAGGACGCCGACGCGGCGGCGCTCAAGGACGAGAACGCGCGGCTGAACTCGGAGCTGCGCGAGGCGCGGGCACAGATCCGGAACCTGGAGCTGCAGGTGGAGAGCATCAAGGCGAACGCGCGCAAGGCGGCGGCGCTGCTCGACAGCTGAGCGCTCCTTGAGCGCGTTGAGGTAGGGAGCGTTGGGCGTCGAGCGCGGGCGCGATGGGTGGTCGGCGACGTCAGCGTCATTGCCGCTCTGCCCGACGCGTGGGCTACTGCTGGGTGTTGATGGACGTGCGGTCCGGCGAGACGGGGAATGGAAGGCGGGTGCACGGGTTGCTCCGTGCAGGACGTCTGGCGCGAAGTCGATTTCTTTTGTATCTGATCTGCGGACACAATTTAATACCAATGTCGTTCTTCTCTGTCGGCGATGCGTGTGCGCGGCCGCGGAGATACTGGCACCCTTGCGGCGGGACGAGGACGCGTGCGATGGATACGTGCTGGCGCGGATGCCACACTCTCGGCGAACGTTACGTTCATTTCCCTCGTAAGGCTGTGGTGCGAGTGAGTGTTGTACCCGATTCAGTGTCAAGCCGTATTCTGATAGGGTAGGCCGCTTTCATGCACGATGCGTGGGGGAACTTTTGCGCGAAGACATAGAGCTGTCGACACGCTATACATCTTCCGCGACGGGGGATGGACGGTCCCCGGTTCTACATACTTGCAAAGCTAGAGCCCCGCATGAAGGGCCACATTTATACTCATGAATGAGTCGAGAGTGCAGGCCATGGTCTAGCTCGTGTCTTTCAAGAGAGCAGATCGCCCGCAAATACCAAAACAACATACGGGGCAGCTCCAGGCGAGGACCGTGAACTGAGATAATGCCCGGTAGGTGTCAAGCATGATCAACGTACTATCGTAAAGTACACCGCTTTTCATGTTCACTCGCAGGCTGTACTCGCTTGCGAAGACGTGACTGGCAAGAGCTTTAGGCTGTCGAACGCCCCACAGAAAGTCGTATGGGCACTACAGAGGGACTGGTATGACGTGCACTCCTTTTCCTGTGACGCTGCTCACTTTGCATCTTAGCGTGTCTCGCCATGCAGCGTTTCACGAATTGTGCAAAGGAGTGGCATCTGAAACGTGTATACGTCCCAGAGATCACAATGGGACCCAGTAATCGTGCCCCGGGAACATGTGTGCAACGCGGTCTGAGATTTTTTTTAATATCCGCCGGAGGGCGCTGCCCTATGCCGGATACTACATGCATGTACATAAGAGCGCTAGGGACTAATCTATCTTGGGCTATCTTGGTGCATCTTTAGGGGTTGCGCGAGCGGTCTGTCACACGGGGGATGAGGTCAGTGGGTGCGCGATTGGTGCAGTACTGTACTGTCGAAGTGAGGAACCGTGTGAGGATGAGGAAAGGGAGCGTGGGCGCAGAGGTGAATAACTATAATGCAATAGGTAGGTATTATAGTGTGTACAGTAAAGTAAAGTAAATGTTAGGCGGAAGGAGGGAGCAGAATGGGTAGGGGAATGTGGAAGAAGGGGGATGGGAGTAGGGCCTGTAGGATTCGGGTATCGTATTGCACTCGGTAGGCTATCCCTGTGCCTGTGCTGCTCGGGACGCGTTCTGGTTCGGTCGTCCCGTCCCGGCCGCGAAGCAGCCGGTTGCCTTGATGTAGCCGAATAGAGTCGGGAGAGCTTCGGGGCTGCTGAGGAGGGTTCGAAGGAGTGTCTTGAACGCAGGGAGAGCTCGTCGTAGCGGAGCGCGGGCTCGTTTCCATGTCGGACAGTGTAGGAGGTAGTGGATCACCGTCTCCTCGTTGGTGCCGCATGTAGGGCACATGGCCGACTCGGCCTTGCGCAGGCAAAATAGGTGCTGTTGAAGCGGTGCATGTCCGGTCCGCAATTGTATAAGGATGCTTCTTTGGTTCTTCGAGAGGGTCGGGTCGATTCTGCGCGTTTTTGCGTAGCGGCGAGATATCTTCCATTGAGCTTCCGCTTCTTGCTTGAAGTCGGCGGTCCTGTGTTGTTTCAAGGCGGAGACACTCACGGGCAGGGGCGGTCTGAGATTAAAAGCACACGACCTACCGACAGGTGTTGGTGCAGCGCGAAGGCCGCACCCAACCTGCATGGCAGTGTATCGTGCATCAGCTGCTTCCCGCGGAGATTTGGAGAATTGTCCACGGGCTACTATCGAATTCAATCTGCTTCAGCTCTGACGACTAATGCCGACAGTTTGCGGGTGATCGCCCCCGATATACTTTGGCGCCGCTCCCAACCTCGCATTCGATCTTGCCCAGTTATGCCTTCACATCGTGGTAGAGACGAGAGTCGACGATCGATAAAGATGAAGTCCGGTGATAGGGAGCGAGCACCGGCGACGAGGTCAGTGTCAGAGAGGGAGCTTCGGCGACAAATAACCAAGGTCAGCGGCGATCGTCGGATATGGGGCGAACGTCGGTTCACGGACATGATACAAGTTCCTTTTCTTTCTTTTTTCTTTTGTAGTGTCAGGCAGAAAGGTACGTACCCTGTTTATTCCTCCTCAGACTCCTCTAAGGCTCGCAAAGATGGTGTTGAAGATGAGCTGCTGAAGCGGCCGGTGTAGGTCGACGGGAATGCCGGCATCGCCACCTTCCTGAGGGCAGCGTACGAAAATACGGCGCGCCGGGGTTGACATTCCCGTGAGGCTGAAACATCGCCGATCGTGGACTCAAGCTGGATACGCCGGGTCTAGCCTGCTTGTGCCCCGGACCCATTATCGGAAGCCCAGACATGCTCCGAACACCGTTCGACAGGGTCAGTGTTTTTGACTGACGCTTAGATCACTATCTTTTCCTCCGGGCATTGTATGCTGGCTGATCAGAAGTTAGTACTTATAAAATGGCGTCGACTCCACAGTTCCAGAGAACTGTATTTATGCTGTTTCCGAATACGTCTAAAATGGATCATTAAGTGTGTCTTCTTGATGAAAGCTGGCGCGGAGAGGACCTTTTGTGTGCGTATCTACAGCAGGCGCAGCGACACAAGGGAGGCGCCATGATTGGCTGCTACACAGTCACGTGGACGCGCAGCTCGCGCCACAACATCTCAACGGCAGTCGAACGACAGGAACCAATAAGCGGAATCTAACAAAGGCACGCGTTCTCCAACACACGCGTTAATTCAGTACTGGTAAGCAGGCTTGTATGGCCAAGGGTTCTCTTGCGCGCCAACGCCACGTCTCTGACTTCACGGCCGCCTGGAAGGCACCCTCATCGGGAATCGAGCGGCACGATTGGCTGATCTAAAGGAAACCGTCGTATCAGAACACTGATTGAATATCAACCCTCGGAGGCGTGGTGAGTGGGTGCCTCAGGACGGTCCGAGAGGTGGGGCTGATCGATGCATCTCCTTTGTTCTCTCTTCCCATATCGGATGGCTCGCACAGCATACACCTGTGTAGCTGGAAGGTATCTTGGTTTCCTATATTAATAGGTACTCTCAGACACCGTGAGTCCACATACAACGCCTCTATTCGTCATGGCTGATTCTCTTTCGACATCCCAGACTAGCGGCCCCGCATCTCCTAGTAACCTCGTTCCTCATATTTCTACTCCTGGCGACGAATTACATCCTCCCCCCCCGACAGTCCCGTACACTGGCACTGATTGTGTTGAAGAACCCACAACTCTGTTTCAAAGGCCCCGTACTGTGGACAAACTGCAGGGCTCTACCCCTGGGTCAGCCAAGGCTTCCGCACAACAGATTTTGGCTGTGCAAGGCATAGAGGGAGAAGCTCTGAACGCCTGGCGGAAAAGACTGAGTAAGGAGATGAAGGACATAATGGTACAGATGCCAGTTTCGGATTTGTTACGGCGTTACGTTCGTGGAAAAGAGCCCACGGCTGAAATTAAAGCTAAACTCGCCGAAATCACGCTCAACAAGGACAATTTCACGGTGCAAGAGCGGCATATGTA